CCTCCCTTTTCTTCTTCCTTCCTTCCTTAAATCCTTCCTTCCCTTCCCTTTCTTCCTTCTTTCCCTTCTTCCTTAACTCCTTCCCTCCATTTTCTTTCCTTTCCTCCCTTTCCTCCAACTTTCCTCCTTCCTTCCTTCCTTCTCCTTCCTTTCCCCTTTCCTTCCTTTCCCAACTTCTTCCTTCCCTCTCTTTCCCTCCCTCCTTCCTTCCTTCCTTCCTTCCCTCTCTTTCCTTCCCTCCCTCCTTCTCTTTCCCTTTTCACCATAAAAAGGGGATTTCCAGTCCTCCTGCAAGACAAAACCACAGTCCAGAAATGCAACAATATAGGATCCCCGATCCGTTTTGCAAAGGTATTTCCATGGCAGAGGAGTTTGGGCTCTCTTCCCTCCTCAAGCCAGCTTCCGAACAGAGGTTTCACACCGATGCACCCACACCATCCCAGCTTACTCTGTAGGTTTGTCTTCGTTCAGAGCCGCTTGGTGAAACCAGCGGACGCAGGCCTGCATGCTGCTCGTGGTGTGGGCCCCGTCGATGTACCACGTCACCGGGCCGTGGTGGAGCACTTGGTTACGTCCGAGCCACACAGCTGCTTGCAGGCCTGGGAAGCAAAGCAAAACTCAGCCACGCTGCCCTGCTGACCGTTGAGAACTCTGCAGCTTCCTGACCAGGAACTAAGTTTCTAGCCCTCATGCTTCTGGAGGGAATCAGAGAAGAGAGGTGGCCAGAATCTGGTAAAAGAGAGGGTTTTTCTTTGGCTTAAAAATGAAAGAATTATCGAAAGTCTTTTGGGTTGGTTCTTTGTCTCCCGCAAAGCCATGTGTGGCTAACCAACATCACGCTAAGCTGTGAATGATGGTTCTCAAAGCGCTGGCCTCACACAACACAGGAATTAAGGAGGAACTTCCTAACGGGGAGGACAATTAACCAGTGAAAGAGCTTGCCTTCAGAAATCATGATCGCTCTATCACTGGGATTTTTTAAGAAGAAACTAGATATCTGAAATGCTGTACGATCTCCTGCTTAAGCAGGGGGCTGGACGAGATGACCTCCAAGGCCCCTTCCAACTCTATTCTATTCCTTTCTATTTCTTTCCTATTTTTCTGTTTCTTTCCTATTTCTTTTCTTATTCTATTTCTTTTCTTATTCTTTTCTATTCTATTTCTAATTCTATTCTATCCAATCTTCTCTTCTCTTCACACTTGAAGCTGACCCAAACCCTTGATGACACAGCATTGAGCAAGCTATTCAAAAAAAACCCCTTTATTGAAAGTTTTTGGAGAGGCCAAACGGTCACAAGTCTCTCCCCTCCGCCCATGACTTTAAGTGGCGTGATCGAATCCTTCCGTTCCTACTCCCCGTGCCACTCTGCAATCCCTCAACCGATGTCCTTGGTGGGACCGAGCCCAAAAGAAGACTCAACACTGTTCCTTTGTTTCACCAGGAAATGGTCCTTCAGCCTGGGCTGAATTGATGTCAAGGTCAGGGAGGGAGGAGCAGGAAATAGGTCAGGAGGCAGCACTGGGGTGGACAGATAGATGGATGGATGGGAAGAGGAGGAGGAGGAGATAGATAATAAGAAAGAGAAAGAGAAGACAGATGGTAAGAAACGTAAGGCAGATAAGAAGAGGAGGCAGAAAAAGAAGTACATAACGAGGAAGAGAAGATGGAGGAGGAGGAGGAAATAGGTAACAAGAAAGAGAAGACAGATAATAAGAAACGTAAGGTAGATAAGAAGAAGTTAGAAGAAGAGGAGGAAGAAGAGGAAGTATATAACAAGGAAGAGAAAATGGAGGAGGAGGAAGTAGGTAACAAGAAAGAGAAGACAGATAAGGAGAAGACAGATAATAAGAAACATAAGGTAGAAAGGAGGAGGAGGAAGAAGTATATAACAAAGAAAAGATGGAGGAGGAAGAAATAGGTAACAAGAAAGAGAAGATAGATAATAAGAAACATAAGGTAGATAAGAAGATAGAAGAGGAGGAGAAGGAAGTATATAACAAGGGAGAGAAGGTGGTGGTGGAGGAAATAGGTAACAAGAAAGAGAAGACAGAATAAAAAACGTAAGGTAGATAAGAAGAGGAGGAAGAGGAAGCATATAACAAGGAAGAGAAGATGGAGGAAGAGGAGGAGGAAACAGGTAATAAGAAAGAGAAGACAAATAAGGAAGAAAAGACAGATGATAAGAAATATAGATAAGATAGAAGAGGAGGTGGAGGAGGAGGTATAGAACAAGGAAGAGAAGATGGAAGAGGAGGAGGAAGGCAACAAGAAAGGAGACCGATAAGGAGGAGGAGACAGTTAATAAGAAACATATAGACAAGAAGGAGCAGATAGAGGAGAAGGAGGAAATATATAACAAGAAAGAGAAGATAGAGGAGAAGGAGGAGACAGATAATAAGAAACATAAGGTAGCTAAGAAGGAGATGATACATCATGAGAAGACCCCATACCTTGTACCATGGGCTGGTCTGGCTTAAAAGCAGGAGCCAAGCAGGGCACCCTCTTTGATGGAGCTTCAGAAGTTCGCCACAAGTCCTTCAGCTCACCGGTATCTGGAAAAGTGAACTATAAATCTAAATAAACCAGGGAACCTCCTTCCTCTATTCAAGACGATGCTACGGACACTTTGGATCTGTCGTGGGGCATCAACCTTCTCCACCCAACTCCAGCTCAACTTCGAGAAATCGGGATGACGATCGGGAAGGGTTGGCGGGAGGACACCTCGCCCAAAACAAGGGAACCGGGCTCTGTGTGTGGGTGTGGGTGTGCGCGCACGCGCATGTGCGTCTTCCCTTACCCAGATACCCACAACGGCCCAGCCATGTGTGGGACAGCTGGAGGGCTAAAGCAGCGTTGGACCGTTGATGGTCACCAGCTAAGCCGAGTTGAAGGAGCTTGTGGCCGTCTTCAAAGGCATCCAGGTCAGGGCAGAGAAAAAACGGGCACTGCAGAAGAGAAAGGAGACCCAAGAATGATTTTGCTCCATAGAATGAAAGCTCCGCCGGGCAGCCTGAAACCCGGGGGCTGGACTAGAAGACCTCCAAGGTCCCTTCCAGCTCAACCTTGAAGACGCTCGGGACCGAACTCGAGAATTAAGGCTGCAGTACTGCATTCTAACCACTGCACCGCCATGGCAAGAGTAAGAGTCGGAAAGGGCCTTCTAGTCCACCCCTTGTTCAACACCTCTTCAGACAAATGGTTATCCAACATCTTTTAAAAAAATTCCCAGTGTTGGAGCATTCACAACTTCTGGTGGCAAGCAGTTCCACTGGTTAATTGTCCTCACTGTCAGGAAATTTCTCTAGAGTTCTAGGTTGCTTCTCTCCTTGGTTAGTTTCCATCCATTGTTTCTTGTCTTCTGCAGAAAGGCAATTATTTGCGTGTGTGTCTTCATTAGCTTGTCTTAAATGTCACTTTACATCAGAGGTCTCCAATTTTGCCCAAGACTTGTGGACTTCAGCTCCCGGAACGTGCTGTGCTGGTTGGGATATTCTGGGAGTTGAAGTCCACAAGTCTTCAGTTGGCCAAGGTTGGAGACCCCTCATCTACATGGAAGATCGAAGTCCTGGGAAAGTAGACTCAATACAGTAAAGAACTAATGTATCTGTAATAATACGCCTGACCACAGCAGCAAGATTAGTTTACACTCAAAAGTAGAAAGGAAAAAAGGAAATTCCGGATGAAACCGAGATAATTAATAATAATAAGAGACGGATATGCACCGAAATGGATTAACTAATATTGGAAATTTTAAAAAAAAGGATGAGACTGAATACTATAAAATATGGGACAAGTTTTACCCATGGTGGGGAAAAAGGAAGGACTTATTAAAATTAGATAAGCATGTTAAGATAGATTAGAAATGTGGAAAATTGCTGTAACGTATAAATGCATATATTATGTAAATTTGTATTATATGTTATCCACAATAGACATGTATGACAAATAGGTTTGTCAGGACGATTTCATCACGTTCGTTGTTTTTAATGTTTTTGTTCAATAAACAATTTTAACAATTAAAAAAAAAACCAGCTCTGGGCTGTCTAACTTTGCGTGTTAAGTTGTGCATTGTGCGGCTTCCACCACCACCAGCTACTTCAGGCCTCGGTCTTCCGCGAAAATCTTCTAGAAGAAAATTTGGGGTGGGGGATAGGGGTTTCAAGGAAATCTTACCTGGCATTCTTCCGCTCTTTGTTTGAGGACTTCTAACGGTCTTTCCGGCTGCGGAACCGTGAACGCTGGCACACTGGGCTGAAAGGACATTTAGATCATATTCTAAGTGCTTTCTTACCGCCAAGCGAGACTCGCAAACATGTTGAGTTTTTCTGGAACTCTGGACAGCTACTTCTGCTGACTACTGGCTGCCGTCAGTTCGATTCCAACGAGGTTTTAGGTTGATCTCAGCCTTCCATCCTTCCGAGGTGGATAAAATGAGGACCCAGGTGGTTGGGGGGTGGAAAGAGGCTGACTCTGTAAACCGCGTTAGGGAGGGCTGTGAAGCGGTGTATAATCTAAGGGCTATTGCTATCCACTTCCTCCAGAAAGACAAATGGAAAATTGCAGTCAAAACTGCTGCGACAGCCGTAAGTGTGAAAAACAGTCAAGTGTCACTTTTCTCAGTGCCGTAACTTCAGTCACTAAATGAACTATTGTAAGTCAAGGACTACTTGTATCATCATCATCATCTCCTTTTAACAACCCCATAATCCCTTGTGGGGTGGAGTCTGGGCCACTGAACGGAGCTGAGTGTTTACTGGCCGGATGCCCTTCCTGTTGCCAGGGCGGAGTTTTGTTTCAGCAGAGATATTCTCATCGTGCCCGGGGAGAGAAATATCTGCCTCTACCTGGGATTGAACTCACAGCCTCCCGATTTGGGAGGCGAGAGCTCCCCGTCTCTAGGCCACCGCGCCACTCCAAGGGCTACTTGTGTATTATTGCAAAAAGCGGTTCGCGGTCCACCATGAACACAAAACTTGCAAATGATGTACAGGAAGCTTTTAGTTCTTAAAAGAAATGAAGCCAGGGTCATAAGCCTGCTTATTTAAATTTAGAAGGATTTTCTTTCTGGAGAGCCAAGGGGTCTCCAGGTTTCTCATCAAGCTGCCGACATCCGTCTTAATAACATGACAGTGGAGGGAGAAGATCCCTCCAAAAATCTACCTTGAAGATGCCGCCTTTCTGCCAGGCTATCTTCTCAATGGTGTCTCCCAAGATGCTGGTATGGTCAATGCCCAAGGAGGAGACCCCACAGACTATTGGTTTCCTACCAAGAAGACAAAGACAAGGAGAAGAAGACCAATCAATCCATCCATCCGTCAATCAAAATAGAGCTGGAAGGGATTTTGGAGATCATCTAGTCCAGCTCAAGCAGGAGATCCTATACTCATTTCAGACAAAGGGTTCTTCTTAAAAACCTCGAGTGATGGAGCACGCGCTGTCAACTCATAAAATATTTCTATGGTCTCCAGGAAGGGAGAGGGGGAAAGGGGTTTGCTTGGAAATCGAAAGTGCATCCCATAAATAGTTTTTCAAAGATAGCAACAACGAGGTGACTGAAGTTTCTGCCGTGCAAAATTCTAACTGGAGTGCATGATCGGTGACTCTGGGCTATGGATGTGTCCCGTTGGAGAATATGAATTAGGATACACCCAGAGAAGTGGGGGAGAAACCAGGGTCGAGGGTGACAATGAATTACGTGTCTCAGAGTCGGCTGCACCCAGGCAGTGCCGGACACGATAACTCCCAATAAATCCTTTTGAAGTTTTGGAAGTTTGGCTCGAGATTTAATTGAAATCAAACTGTTCTAAAGGTTAATTGTCCTCCCTGTTAGGAAATTCCTCCTAAATTCCAGGTTGCTTCTCTCCTTGATTAGTTTCCATCGGTTATTTCTTGTCTGGCCTTCTGGTGCTTTGGAAAATAAATTGACACCCTCTTCTTTGGAGCAGCCCCTCAAATACAGGAATGCTGCCATCATGTCATCTCCTAGTCCTTGTTCTCTAGACTGGCCTTACCCAAACCCTGCGACTGTTCTTCATACCGTTTACTCTTGAGGTTTAATAGCTCTTCTCTGCACTTTTCCCAAAATCTCAACATCTTTTCTGCAATGTGGTGACCAAAACTGGATGCACTACTCCAGGTGTGGCCTTACTAAGGCATTATAAAGTGGTACTAATACTTTCATGCTCCGAGGAAGGAAAGTGAGATTCTTGAAAGCCATCAAGAGAAGAACAGATGTCCACCAAACACAACCGTTGCTGAAGAACCCATTTGAGGGCTAGTGATGAAGTGCCCAGGAGTTCGACCTCCTTACCTGACAATGTTTGTGCAATCGTAGGCGCCCCCAATGCCGACTTCTATAACCGCCAAGTCAACCTGGGAAGAAGATAGAAAATAGCTCATGGTCTCATTGACCCAAGAGGGTTTTGGTCCTCCAGATCGTAGATCCTAGCCACCCTCCACGGATGGGTTTGCCTGGCTGGCTGTGGATACGGGCATTGCGCAGTCATATTTTGGTCTTCAAGAATGAGCTAATTTATTTAAAACCCAACCAGGGTCCGTTCGGACAGAGCCACAAGAGAGATTTTATAGAGTTGGACTTCTCTATTTTTAGATCTTCTAAAGGGACCGTCCAAACTGTGTCTCTACCAAGAGAACTACACAGAAGCATCGAGTTCGGGTTCAATTCAATTTGGGGTTGAGGTTGTCCAGTGTGGATTCTCTGCGAACCTCCAGATGTTGGACTCTGCAGATCATCAACATCTGGACAATCACCTATTGTTCTGACCCAAACCTTGTTCCAAGGAAACAAACACGAAACAGAGGTAACAGCAAAACCTTTTAATGATTCTTTAACGAATTCCATTCTTTCATGGTTAAAAGGCTATTAAAACTAATTGTCCCTGATAAGAACAAGCCTTGCCAAGGCTGCAAGGTTGTGCAAGGCTGCCAAGAACACTAGCTAAAGTTACTAAGAAATATTTCAAACACAAAGAGTCTCCAAACATCAACCAAGATACTCCGAACGTCCACAAGGCTTGAAGGGCAAGAACTTCTTTGCTTCCTGCAAAGAACTCCGGTTTCTCAGCTGGCTTTTATCTCTTAAGGGAGGGGCCATTACCTTGCAGCCTTACTCCCGAGTCACCCGTGCTGTTGCAGCTGCTCAACTTTGCTCAAGCAACCCTGCGCGCATGCACGCTGGGCACAGGCTCCTCGGGGGCCTCTTCCTCACTGCTGCCAGCCTCCACCATCTCCAAAGGCAGCACTCCACCCCCTGATGGTCCTGGCCCCATCCCTGCATCCCACGCAGGCCCCTCACCTGAGTCCTCGCCCTCCGAGACCTCAGCCGCCCACACCTGCTGCCGGCGAACCGCAACACCTATCTTACCCAAACACGTCTATCTTTCCCAATTTCATAAAAGGTACCTTTGAGGTCCAACATACCTTTTCCTGCAGGAAGACATGGAAAGCCATGATTGTAAGGAACCGGAAGTAGGCAGGCATGGAAGCGTGATGGGAGTCCTGAGAAGATCAACAAAACGGGTTTAGGAGGATCCGAATTTGAGCAATGGACAATCAAGGTCTCAAACCCACATCCTACTGGGCACTATCAAAATCTAGGTTCTGTCCCAATATAAAATGTTTTACAGGTGGCGTCTTCCTCCAACTAGACTGGCCAAAATAAGTAAAAGTACATCACCACATTGTTGAAAATGTAACATAGAGATAGGGACCTATTATCATATGTGGTGGAAATGTATAAAAGCAAAAAAATACTGGTGGAAAATAAAGGTTCGGATAGAAGAGATGGTTAATCCGAAAGTAGAGTTCAGACCAGAAACATTCTTACTGGGAATTATTAATAAGAAATACAGTAAAGGGACAATATATTTAATGTTACATATAATAACAGCTGTGAGATTGGTGTATGCCCCAAACTGGAAGAATAAAGATACCCCTACAAAAAGTGAAATAATAAGGAAAATATTAGTGCGTGCAGAGATGGACAGACAACTTTAGAAATCAAAGATAAGAGTACTGTGAAGTCTGGAGTAAAATGTATCAATGGCTAGAATCAAGGAAAAAAGAAAGAAAGGGTTGACGCTTTATAGGAATGAAAGTTAAAAGTTTTGTAAATCAAAGAGAATGGAATAAAATGGACAAATACGAGATGATACGAATGCATTATCTAAAAGATGGTTGTAAATATGTATATAATTGTATATAAATGTAAGTAGAAATAATATGCAGCTAGCACTATATTAATAACATAAGGGGAAAAGGAAATTAACTGTATATGTACCTCTGTACTATAGCTTGTATGGCCAAAATGATGGTAAAGAAAGTCACACTGTGTTCAAATGTTTATTCAATAAAATGTATTAAAAAATAAATAAAAATCTAGGTTCGGTCTAAATGAACCTCTTTTGATTTCTGGAATGTGCCTATCCTAAAGTCTTACAAATAGCTGAGCTTCTAATTTCTAAGCACGGAGATGGTGATATTTTTTTATCCACCAAGCCAGAAAGCTCAAGAAAAGGCTGAAAAAATTGGAGGGAGCATTTTGCTCGTCTCTTCCTTCCAATTTCTTCATCACAACCCCACCACCTCATCGCGGGCCATCTCTGCCCATTCGTTTCTTAAGAGAGGGCTCCTCACCAGGTGACACCAAAGCATACCTTCGTCTCCTCCAATCGGTTATACACCTGCCAGAAATATTTGCTAAACAGCTCTTGGCTGATGGGCTGGCCGTTAATGCGAATCCTCTCGCGGACTTGAACCAGATGGGGTGAACTTGGGGGAAAGAAACCAGAGAGCCAGGATTATTGAGATCAAATTATGAACGGCCACCATGCCAGGATCGAACACGGAAATCCTAGACCGGTGAAGATATTTGTTAAATGTAATGAAGTTAGGAAAACTCTGCCGATCACCACTCAGCCAGTTTCGAAAGCAGGATTTTACAATAGACGGAATTCTGTTTACCTGCTAGAAATCAAATGAGGATTAATAACGATTCAAGGTCCAATTCATGTGGTTTGAACTTTGATTTTTAAAAGGAAGCAGAGCTTTTTAAGTGCGTAGTCCTCTGCTTGCATTTTATTCCTTTTTTTAAGAGAGTGTGTGCCAGCTGAGACCAAAGGCCTGCTTGGTCAGGCACCCTCATTCACCAGCTTGGGGAAAAAAAATTCAAGAGTGCCAGGAAACCGGAAAAAAAGTTTCCAGAGACATAACTGCAACAACTGTGCAAAATGGTGTTTTCTTTTCGGCTATAATATTAGAAGTGGCTTTTTATGTGTGCATCAGCTGGACAATTGATGGAGGTTTTTAAAAGTGAACAAACAAGTGAAACAAAAATAAGATTAGGGGAAGGAGGAAGGAAGGAAGGAAGGAAGGAAGGAAGGAAGGAAGGAAGGAAGGAAGG